ACAATGAGGCAGGCTGCTCCCATAATGATTTAAAACCCTATGTAGGGGTCACCATGCTTCGATCGATAACGGGGGGCTGCAGACCACAGGCTACATGGTCAGTGCAGGCCTCCGGATGACTCCGAGTTGCCCCCCACGCCCGCCTGGGACCCTGCGTGAGGCCTCGCACTCACTGGCATCGAAGACGGCCTTGAGCGCCTGGATGTCCGTGGCCACGCCGGATATCCGGTAGATGCCCACCTCCTCGATGCCGCGCTTCTCCACCTCCTCCACACACTGCCGCACGATGTAGGGCACCTTGGAGCGCTCCCGCCTGCAGGGAGGGGCAGGGGGCGGAGTCAGGGGAGGGCCTCCCGGCACAGCCACGCCCCACCCACTCCGCAGCGGGGAGGTGGGGGGCGCTCTGGGAAAGGAAGGTCCCAGAAGAAGAGAGGTGTGAGTCCCATGTGCTGGGGCGCCTGGCAGGTAGTGAGGTGGGGCTGGCCCTGGTCACGGTAACACCCCACTGATCAAGAGACCTGGGCGGGCAGGGGTTCCCAGGAAAAATGGGCCTGTCCAGTGCTGGCTTGCTCCCTCATCTGCAAAGCAACACTTCCCTGGGGCCACCCAGCCAACAGTGGTGGGGACCAGGCTGGACGGTGACTGACTGGGTGCTAGGCATGGTGGGGGTGGGAGGCGTCTCCACAAGTAGCACCTACTTGGTCACCACGCTGATCTTCACGCCAAAGACGCCTGTCTGCTTCTTGGATGGTGTCCTTTTCAGACTCATGTCTCGGCTGGTGAATTTCATGGAGAATTCCACTTTGATCTGTCAGGGGTGAGGCAGGCACACAGCCCGGGGCATGAGTGCCCAAGGCCCCCCAAAGCCATGGCCCCTCTCCCCCTCCCCGCGACTGCAGGCACCAGGGCTGCCTCTGGCACCCAGGGCTCCTTGAAACAGGAACGTGGGCCGGGGTGGACAGAGGAGAGGGGCAGGGCAGACAGGGCAGGGGCAGGGGCAGGGTGGTCCACCCACCCCAAAGACGCTTCCTATGGCCCCGCTCACCCCGTTCATCTCAATCGTGTCCGCGTGCCAGTTCTTGGTTTCCACGGTCTGCGGGTCCAACTGCAGAGAGACGGCGGGCAGGATGTGAGTGGGCGAGGGCCAGCCCGGAGAGACTCGGCCAGCATGCCCCTGCTGGCTGACCCATCCTGCCTGCCAAAGGCTCTTCTTGGAACCCACCCTTCCAGAGGGAGGCTGCAGTCCCTGATGGCCCCCAACAGCTCCTGTGACGAGGCACGGCACGACACACCTGCTAAGCTCTTCTGCCCATCTTGCCTCTTGGACCCCCAACCCCCGCCCCCCCCCATGGGTGCCATCACCCTTTCTGGAGACGCAGAAACTGAGGCGCATAAAAGGGAAAGCCACTTGCTCACCACAGAACTAGGGCAGTCCCGAGGGTCCCCGGCAGTGTCCCTGCAGCACGTGGAAGGTGGTGAAAGAAGGGGGAGCTGGGTGAGAGGAGCTAAGAGCCATGTTTCTCTGAACCCGAGTTTGACTGCTGGCCCTGCCTCTTCCAGCTGTCTGACCTTCAACCTCTCCTGGCCAAACGGTGACAGAACTGACCTCTGTGAGGAGGCCCTGAGAGGCTGGTCTCAGCAGCTGGTCGTCCACTAAGCAAAGGCACTACAAAGAGGGGGGCCCACAGGGAGGGCCGGAGGCAGCCCTCGCAGGGGACCATGCAGGACTCGAGCTCTGGCCATGGGCTACAGGCGGTTTTGCTGGTGCCCACAGAGGGAACCCGAGACACCGCGCCTCCCTGGGATGTTCTAAAGTTGGCAATGGAACACTCCCATGGCAGTCTACAGAACGCAAGAACTATCACTTCCAGAGTATGTAAATATTGCCATCTGAAAATAAAATGGTTACATCACGCCTTCACGGGTCCCCACTGCAATCTAAATACCATCGCGATCGGATACCCATCATCACCCACTAGAAAAATGCACGAGCAAGCACTTCTCTCCCAGGCCGAAACCCAGCCCCACTCTCCCCGGATTATACTTCCAGCCTGTTTCTCTCCAAGAATGGGGTTCTACTTTAGATTTCTATGTGAAAGCTTTGTCTCTACCACGCTTCAGCAAAAATAGCTGTGTGAATCTGCACTATCCAATTCCCTGAGACTGCAAGGCTCTTTCTCAGGACACACTTGGAGGCCGTCGTGACCATGTGGTAGTTAGGGCCAGAGCCCCTCACTCATGGTGACTGACCCCAGGCACGCTGGAACCAAAGGCTGCCCGGTCCTGCGTTACTGGCCCTCGTCCACTGGCGGATGGGCGGTGGTGAGGTCTGAGGTGGCACTTGGGACTTGTACCACCAAGTCGCCGTGATGACAGCTATTGTGGGCCGTCTAGTGACGCCAGCTCGCAGCGACCCGAGTGGCAGACTAGAACCGCCGTCTAGACTTGGCTGGACGGTCGTCTTTAAGGGCCCTTCTCCCCAGAGTGGCCAACGGGTTTGAAACCACCGACTTCTCAGTTACCCTGAAAAGTGAGCAGGTGAGGCTCTTTTATTCTACAGCACTGCGGTGTCATTCTTTGAAGGAGCCCTGATGGTGTAGCAGTTATGCTAACCACAAGGTCAACAGTTTGAGACCAGCAGCAGCTGTGGGGAATATAGACAGGGCTTCCTGCTCCTGCAAGGGGTCTCGGTCTTGGACACCCACAGGGGCAGTTCTACCCCGTCCCCTGGGGGCGCTGCGAGTCGGCATCGACTCGAGGCAGTTCTTGGAGCTCTGGCCACACGATGAGGGGCTTCCACTAGTTTGTAGGCAAATCCGTATATTTCCATTCTGTTTTTCCCACACACCCTTTGGGGCTACTTCCGGTTTGCTTTAAATAACAGAGCGTAGGAATGATTTTCAACGACCTTTCATTTCGGCTGACCCCCGGGTCCGCCTTCGGTTTCACGGAGGGCACAGAAGGAAAACCACGTGACTTCCGGAAGCATAGGTAAGCTGCTCATGGTCTCTTACCGTCTCAGCACTCACGCCAGCATTTCAGATGCCCCGTGCGGTGCCCAGGGGGGCTGTTGCCTGGGGGCTCCCTCTGTGGAGGAAGAGGGGATGGGAAGAGGCCTGTGCCTGGGCTGGAGCTAAGGACCTGGGGATGGCCACGCACCTCGGGGGCATGTGTGTTGCAGGTAGAGAGATGCGGCTCCACCAGCCACAGCCTCCCCGCAGAGGCTACACTAGATCTGGATCGGTGCATCCTGGACTGGGCCCTGGGGCTTCTATAGCTTCTACCACCCACACAGCTCGCTGGGGATAGGAGGCACCCAATTCTCTGATGGGGCCTGCCTCTGCACACTGTTCCCTCTAGGCCCAGGCCCAGCTTCAGCAGTCAGCTCACAGCCGGGAGAAGACATGGGGCAAAGAGGAGGAGGGGGGCGGGACTTGGGAGCGGGTACCCGGTTTGGGGAGGGATGCAGAATTAGCCAGTGCTGTACTGAGTCCCCCAAAACTTGCTTTCCCAAGCCTCCCTCTAAACTTGTTTAGGTCCCAAGCCAGGGGGTCCTTAAACTACAGCCCGAGGGCCACATGTGGCCCGCCGAGGAAACTTATCCGGCCCACAGGGTGTTTTTGCCGCTGCTGCCTGTCCTGCTTGGCAGTCAACGCGTCCAGTGTGCATAGGAATTTGTTCATAGTTTTTTTTTTTTTTAAACTATAGTCTGGCCCTCCAACGGTCTGAGGGGCAGTGAACTGGCCCCGTTTAAAAAGTTTGAGAACCCCTGACCCAAGCCCTCACTGAGCTGACAGCACAGGTGGCCCCGGTCGTTTCTTCACCTAACCTGAAGAAGACTAGGTCTTAGACAAGGGCCTGGGGCTACCCTGGGGTCTGTCCCTAGCAGCGGCCACCAACCAACCACACACAGAGCTGTTGTTAGTGGTCATTGCCCCTGACTTGGTGTCTCCAAGCACAGCTCAGTCCTACGCCCGCCCCATGACCAGTTTGGGACCAGACTGCTGTAAGCCACCACATTTTCACAGACTGGTTTTTGGAAGTCGACCACCAGGCCTCTCCTCCTAGTCTGTGTCAGTCTGGAAGCTCTGCTGAGATCTACTCAGCGTCATGACGATACATGAGCCTCCACTGCCACACGGGTAGCAGTTTTGCAGGTGAACCAGCTGGGAACGGAGCCCAGGGCTCCTGCATGGTAGGTGAGAACTCACTGGAGCCAAGAGGTAAAACCCCAAACCAGGCCCACTACAGCCTGGTCCTGATGGGACCCCCAAGACTACAGTCCTTGGACACCCCTCAAGCCTAGAACTGAACCCCCTCCCAGAGGTCACCTTTCAGCCGAGCAATAGCCAGACAATGTACAGTGAATAGAAACAGCCCTGACCAGGCTGCTCAGAACAGTCAGCCATGCGAGTCCACGGGGCAGGCTTTGCCCCAGACACCGGTCAAAAGGCAGGATGGGCCGATGGCAATGGGGCGCCTGGGGGGAGATGGGAAGGACACAGATGTGTATAAATCCTCAAGTGGGACATGAGTCTGCCCTGTAAACCTGCCACCCAAGCTAGTGTAGAATGTCGACACACACACACTCGCCAACCAGACCCACTGCCACCCAGTTCATTCTGACTCCTGGAGCCTCCACGGGCTTCCACAGCCCTGCTTAAAAAAAAAAAAAAATCATAGATCTTTATTACGCAAAAATGTCAAAATGGGAAGCTAAGTTTTTCTCAACATCGCCTCCATCCCGGTCTCCACATGTCTAAGGTGCTGCTCCCATCTCACGCAGTGTTCTCTGAGGAGCCCCTCGGCTCCCGTCCCTCAAGGGGCTGCCGCCGTCTCGTCCCCTGGTCTGACTTTTTATTGGCACCTCATGCACATGTCATACAAGTCAAGAGTTGTTCAATCACATGGAGAAGAACTGTACGATCAATTGCAGACCATTTTAGAATATGGTTAAATGGCCTTTAAAATGAGTTATGTAGTCACAATCTGTTCCAGTGTTCCCTCCCCGCTCCCGTCTTCCTTGTCTACTCCCCAAATCGCCTCACCCTATCTCTCGCCCCCCACCCCTACATCCCCCATAAACCCTTGCCTCCATTATTATCTCTATGCATCCACTCCTCATAGAAACAATAAAACACAAAGTATAAATAAAGTGGTAAGGATAAAATAACACAAAGATAAAAATATAAATAACGAGTAAGAAAGAAAAGACCACTTAATATTTAAAAAGCCAGGGAAGACATTTTTGTCATGGAACACGCAAGAGATATTTGCACCTTGAGCAAATTCGGTTGGGTCACTAGGGAGGTCAGCTGACCAAGTACCAAGTTCAATCCAGCATAATCAAGACTGCCCTCAGAAACAGGAGTAATGGCTCCCTGAGGGTCCGAGAAGGCAGGGGTGGGGGTGTAGGAAGAGGGGGGACAGGGGTGGACAGCAGTGAGGGCTGTGTAACCCCACTCGATGAGGTCGAACAACAGAACTGTGTGTGAATGGATACATTGGGGTGTGTAAGATATGGCCAAAAAACCCCATTATATTCAGAAAAAAAAATAAGGGCTCCTAGAGGGTAGGGTGAGGAAGGGAGGGGAGAAAGGGGAGCTGATATCAAGGAGTTCAAGAAGATAGAAAGTGGTTTGGAACTGATCGTGGTAGCAATTGTACAATACTGCTTGATGTGATTGGAATGTTATGATATCTGTAAGAGCTCCCAATAAAATGAGTAATCAATAAAAAAAGATTACAATGATCTCTGGCTGATAGTAAGGCTGTTTCAACCCTTGCCTGTGGCTAGTGGGGGGTCTGCTAACTTTATGTAAGCTAACTGCCTTATCTGTCTCCTGATGGGCCAGCAGGGGGGTTTGAACCACTGACCTTTCGGGTGAGCAGCTGAGTGCTTAACTACTGTCCCCCAGGGCTCCTTGGACATCAGGGAGAGCTCCTAACTGCTTCAGAAACACATTCTGGAGCGACCGGCTCCTTCTACAGCTAGCCTCACCAGGCATCAGCATAAACTCCGGACTGAGTCCCCGCTCCCGGTCCCTGGTAACACATGTGTGAAGTCCCGCCTGGCTCTCAGTGTCTCCTGCCTTGGCAGCTCCC